AAGTAAGGATTTCCAGTCATAAATAGGTTAATCCAATCTAAATTAGAAGATATTTGTTGTAGTAGAATGAAAGTTTAATTAAAATATTTCATAAACTCGTCCAGACTTCCATCTGTCTCTTATACACATCTAGATGTGTATAAGAGACAGGATGAATGTGTACCTCGAAATTGGCCAGGATCATAACAGAATGGCAAAATTGAAATATGGGTCAAATAGCGGTCGCGATCTATTTCACAGTTGGAATGATTTTTTAAAATTTATTGAGCGCTTTTCCTGGAAAGATCACAACAAAATCTATGAGTACTCCAATTTTCTGTTTTTTTTGCCGCATTCTTCGGAGCGAGAAAACTCACTGAATTTGGAGTGCTTTTTTTAGTTGGCCTACATGTGACTGAGTGGCGAAAAATGTGTCGATTCGGTTCGACAATTATTTCGCAGTCTAAATGATTTTTTGAAAATGTTCTAATATTTTTCCTGGAAAGAACTTGCGCTCATCTATGGATTCTTAAAATTTCAGATTTTTCTGCGGGTTCCTCCGAGTACAAAAAATCACCAAAGTTGCCTCCTGCAAAACGTCTGTTTCGTTGCGCCTGACCTCCCTGTTTTTGAAAGACGGGCCTCATTGCCACCTCAACGCCTGGGCCTGATGGCCCTTTTGCAGTTTGCATGCCCTCACATCTTTTTGGGGTCCACTTCTACCCGAGGACCGGTCCTTCCTTTTTCCAAAAGTCCCGGTTCTACTTGAGCTAGTTGTAGGCAGTCCGCAATTTTGTCAAGTATTGGTCCCCCAAAATTCCCCCCCCCTTAACAACCCATTTTGCATCCTGGTCGCCCGCCGCCAAAAATGCAGCACCTTGACACAGACGCCGAACCCCACTAGACTGCAGCCTTAGGGCTGCGAACACAACTCCAGAGTGTGTGTTTGTGGGGATGCGCCCGGTGCTTTATTCACAATGTGCATGGGACGTTCGACCCATTTTCCAGCAGGTGCCCCTCCCCATTAATAGACAAGAGCATTATGTAGTATGTCCACTATAGTGGGATGCTCATATCACCCCTCTAGTGGGTTGAAGCGGAGGTTTTTTTTTTGGGGGGGGGGGAAGTGTGTGTGTGCGTGTGTATGTGTGCTGTCTCTTATACACATCTAGATGTGTATAAGAGACCGGCGGTATTTCAGTGCTTGCAATTTTTTATTT